CTCAAAAAAAAAAAAAAAATAATAATAATAATAATAATTGTCAAAATGTATTAAAACTGGAAAGCACCTGGATAATTCTCTAGTAATAACCTAATTTCTGAAAACAGACTTCCTCAATGTTCTTCATAACCCAACACAGTCCAGTAATTTTCTTTTTTTTAAAGACGTTGTCTCTCTTTGTCGTCCAGGCTGGAGTGCACTGATGAGATCTTGACACACTGCAACCTCTCCCTCCTGGGTTCAAGGGATTCTCCTGCCTCAGCCTCCCAAGTAGCTGGGATTACAGACATCCGTCACCACGCCTGGCTAATTTTTGTATTTTTAGTAGAGACAGGGTTTCACCATGTTAGCCAGACTGGTCTCAAGCTCCTAACCTAAAGTGATCTGCCCAACTCGGCCTCCCAAAGTGCTGGGATTATAGGCATGAGCCACTGTACCAGGCCCCAATCTTTTTTATTTCCACACTCTTCTCAAGTGTTAATAATTCAATCTGTATAACAAGGCTGACCTAACATTTAATAACCCTCACCAAAAATCAACCTTACAAATTTGAGAGTCTCCATGACTCCAACCAAAAACATATAACAGAAATAAACTAGCAAAGTTTGAATACTTACAAGTGAAATTTTGCAAAAAATTCTTGGCCAATATGGAAGAACTCCTTTTACAGTTTCTGTGTCTCTCTCTGTACACATGGTTCCAAATTCCTGCATAGCCTAAAATTAAGTTATTAACATCATTAAGGATTAACAACTATAATATTGGCTATTATTACTCTGTTCTGGAAGCTTTGTCTATTTTATGTAGCAGGAGAATACACTATTTCTGTTTATGAGACTAGTCTGAAGAGCTCCTTCACAGGCTACCATGGGAGAAACTCTACAGTGTTTTTTAAAAAATAAAACATCTACAAACAAAAAAAAAACCTCAATTTAAAGTTACATGGTCAAAGTTACATTTCCTAATGGGAAAAACTGTACAGCCAAAATTCCAAAGCAGTTCAAAAAAGTTTAGTGTAACAAACCAATTTACAATTTAGAAAATAAATATCAACTAAGTTTAAGACTGTGTATCAGAAAAAAGTGCAATTGTAGGCCAGGCATGGTGGCTCACATCTGTAATCCCGGCACTTTTTGGGAGGCCAAGGCAGGCGGATCACGAGATCAAGAGATAGAGACCATCCTGGCCAACATGGTGAAAGCCCGTCTCCACTAAAAAAAAAAAAAAAAATACAAAAATTAGCTGGGCGTGGTAGTGTGTGCCTGTAGTCCCAGCTACTCAGGAGGCTGAGGCAGGAGAATTGCTTAAACCCAGGAGGTGGAGGCTGCATTGAGCTGAGATTGCGCCACTGCACTCCAGCCTGGCGCCTGGCAACAAAGCAAGACTCTGTCTCAAAAAAAAAAAAAAAAGAAAGAAGAAAGTACAATTGTAAAAGAACTTAGCAATAAATTATTGTTCATTTTCCTTTACATAAGATATGCTAATGACATTTCCTTTTAACAGAGGGATTTTCTTGATAATTTTTATGAAAACAAGTAAACTTGCTTTTAATTTTGTGGTGACATCTTTTTTCGAAAGTTTCCGCAGCACCATTCGGAAATCAGAATCTACAAGACTGTCAATTTCTTCAGCTCCTTGAATAGCAGGAACGTAACCCAGGTCACTGTGAGATGTTCCAAAACCAATAAATCCAGGCACTGTTCCCTGTTCTTTGGCAAGGAGTTCTGCAGCTCGGCCACTGTTTGAAGGCTGATAAGAAAATTATGGAGAAAAAGAAGTGACAGTCCGGAAAGGGTTCAAAACTTTACTTTATAATTCCTTGGCTATTCCCATGGTCAGAATGAGCTTTTACTCTATTTTCTTTTTTCCTAGCCTAAAATTTCATCCATTGCAAAGTTCCCTAAAGACTAATGGTTTTGTCGCCAAGAATCCATCAATACTGATCCTAGGAATTATTCCATTTCCTAAATATTAGAATGTTTTGTAAACCATGGATACAATCCATTATTGGCTCATAATATCAATATAATGGACCATGACAGAATTTTAAAGAAATTGATAATTTTTAAAATCACAATGTATCACGTGGTAAAATTTTCATAAATGCTGTTTTATGAATTTTTTTATTTCCAACTTTCATATAAATAGTATGTATACACTCTCGTATACTGTGTAATGATGTAAAATTAACTCTAGAACCCATCCTTTCACTCATTCATAAATTGAACAAGTATTTATTAAGCAATCACAATGGCCCAGGTCTAATGATAGCTGCTGCTAGACTGAGAGTTCCTTGAGGATGGATACACTCATTTCCACATACTCAAAGCTTAGCCTAGCCTCCTTAGGCTAAAATTGCATTATTATGGCCATAAAAATCAATACAGTGGTCAATCTATAAGACAGACTCCTTTGTTTTGAATCATACTCAGTGATTTGTTTGACTGATACACAATATAATAGTCTTCAACTAAAAGTTAGGAGGTTGATACAAAGAAATATTTGAACTGCTGAAATAAATTAACTTATTGTCATCTAAAGAGAAAATGTTTCAGACATCACAATCCATCTAAACTCATCTATTTCTTATTTCTCTATAAGGATGTTTGCCAACAGTTATCCAAATGTGTGACTCAAATTGCTCATACCAGCAGAGCAGGGTGGCTCATGCCTGCAATCCCAACACTTTGAGAGGCCAAGGCGGGTAGATCACTTGAGCCCTAGAGTTCAAGACCAGCCTGGGCAACATGGCAAAACCCCATCTCTACAAAAAAAACACAAAAATTAGCCAGGTATGGTGGTGGGTGCCTGTAATCCAGCTACTCAGGAGACTGAGGTATGAGAATCACTTGAATCTGGGAGGCCGAGGTTGCAGTGAGCCAAGATCGTGCCACTGCACTCCCCCCGGGGCAACAGAGTGAGACTCTGT